CGCCGGGAATGCCGGAGCCCCGCGCCGGGAATGCCGGAGCCCCGCGCCGGGAATGCCGGAGCCCCGCGCCGGGAGTGCCGGAGCCCCGTGCCGGGAATGCCGGAGCCCCGCGCCGGGAGTGCCGGAGCCCCGTGCCGGGAATGCCGGAGCCCCGCGCCGGGAATGCCGGAGCCCCGCGCCGGGAGTGCCGGAGCCCCGTGCCGGGAATGCCGGAGCCCCGTGCTGGGAGTGCCGGAGCCCCGCACCGGGAATGCCGGAGCCCCGTGCTGGGAATGCCGGAGCCCCGCACTGGGAATGCCGGAGCCCCGCCGCGCCAGGGGTGCCGGAGCCCCGTGCTGGGAATGCCGGAGCCCCGCGCCGGGAATGCCGGAGCCCCACCACGCCAGGGGTGAAGCTTCGGGATGATCCTTTGGGACTCTGCGGCTTCACACGCTGGGAAATCCCATCCCGAGGCATCCAGTGGGAAAACCTGGACCTGCTGGGCCATGGCCACGGGAAACCCTGCAGGGCACTGGAGACATTCCAGAGATCCTCCGGGCACGGAGACTACTCCAGAATTCCATGGAGACTATTCCAGAATTCCATGGAGATCATTCCAGAGCTGCACGGGGTGTGGAGAGCTGTTCCAGACATCCATTGGGCATGGAGATTATTCCAGAATTCCAAGCAGACTATTCCAGAATTCCATGGAGATCATTCCAGAATTCCATGGAGACTATTCCAGAATCCCATGGAGATCATTCCAGAGCTCCACTGGGTGTGGCGAGCTGTTCCAGGCATCCACCAGGCATGGAGACTATTCCAGAATTCCATGGAGATCATTCCAGTATTCCATGGAGATTATTCCAGAATTCCACAGAGACTATTCCTGAATTCCATGGAGACTATTCCAGAATCCCATGGAGATCATTCCAGAACTCCATTGGGTGTGGCGAGCTGTTCCAGACATCCACCAGGCATGGAGATTATTCCAGAACTCCATGGAGATTATTCCAGAATTCCATGGAGATTATTCCAGAGCTCCTCTGGGTGTGGCGAGCTGTTCCAGGCATCCACCAGGCACGGAGATTATTCCAGAATCCCATGGAGATTATTCCAGAATCCCATGGAGAGCCATCCCACAGCTCCAGCAGAACTGGAGATTCATCCCTCAGCCCCACCAGGCGTGGAGAGCCATTCCAGAATTCCATGGGCACGGAGGCTGTTCCAGAATTCCATGGAAAGCCATTCCAGAGCTCCACCAGGCACGGAGAGCAATTCCACCGATCCACCGGGCACGAAAAGCCACTGCTGAGCTCTGCTGGGCTCGGAGAACGGGCTGGGAAAAGCCACCCCAGAGCCATCCCAGAGCTCCACCACATTCCATCCTCTCCCAGCTCCCGCTTCTCCAGAAGCCTCTTCCCAAAAATCCCCTCCTCCGGCGCCTTCCTGTCCCCATGGGCAGGGCAGGGCCACCTCCCTGCCCTGGCACCAAAGCCCCACCTGGAAAATCCTGGGAATCCCGCAAGAATTCCTCCCTCTGGAAGCGGCAGGGATGGGGGACGTGGGCGAGCTGGCCCAAATTTTCCTGGTTTTTTTGCCATTTTTCCCACTTTTCTCCCACGCTGTTGCGGGGAACGGGGTCCTGCGAGCCCCTGGGCAGCGCCGGCGGATCCCGGAGCGGGAAGGGCGGGCGCATCCCTTTGTTGTGCTGCCCCCAAATCCCGCAGGACTGGGGATTTTTCCGGGCTGGGATCTTTCCCTGGAGCCCCCCGCTCCTCCCGGCTCCTCGATCCCACCGAGGCTCATCCTCGGCAGGCTCGGGGGTGCCGGAGCTCGGCGAGGATTTGCAGAAGGCGCCGGCCTCTTTTTCCTGCCGCTCCCACGGCTTCTCCCGGCTCCAGCAGCCTCTTCCCGAGCCCTAATCCATCTTCTCCCGCTCCGCTTCTGCCGGAGACCTCCGGACACCCGGCAGCTTCAGCGGGAATTGTTTCTGCTCGCCAGGATCCCTCCGGAACACGCAAATTCCCAGCCAGGAGCAGAAAGGATTTTCTGGCTCCCCGGGAATGATCCCGGCTGGGAAGAGCTGGATGTTCCCTGCTCCAGGATGCTCAGAGCCTCCCTAAATCGAGGCCACGCCGTGCAGACGCCCTGCTCAGCCCAACCCTGAATTTGGGGGTGCAGGGTCCCTGCTCGGGGGCCAGCTCCTCGCCCTGTGCCCGCAGAACCTTGGGGGCACCCGGGAATGGGGCGGGGGGACACCCAGGAATGGGGGGGACACAGAGGGATGGGGCGGGGGGACACCCAGGAATGGGGGGACACAGAGGGATGGGGCGGGGGGACATCCAAGGATGGGGCGGGGGGACACCCAGGAATGGGGGGACACAGAGGGATGGGGCGGGGGGACATCCAGGGATGGGGGGGGACATCCAGAAATGGGGGGGACACAGAGGAATGGAGTGGGGGGGACACACAGGGATGGGGTGGGGGGACATCCAGAAATGGGGGGGACACAAAGGGATGGGGGGTCACCCAGTAATGGGGTAGGGGGGACACCCAGGGGTGGGGCAGGGGGACACACACAGGGTCCTGCTTCAATGCCAGCCCCGCTGGGAGGGCGGGTGGGCTCTACTTTGGATGCCTGAGGTGAGGCACCCATGTCCCCCCGGAGGTCCCTGAACCCCAAATCTCTGCCTGAGCCATCCAGCTGTGCCCGGACACATGTCCAGATGTGCAGCTGTGCCCCCAGCCAGCTGGAGCACCCTTGCCACCCCACCCCGCCCCCCGAGCGCCCCTGTCTGAGGGCACCCCCCGAGCCCGGCACCCCCGGGCAGGGGCTCCCCCAGCCCAGGGCTCGGCCCCGCCTGCTCGGGCCTCTGTTCCCGTCTCCCCAAAGGCTTGGGGGGCACCCGAACCCCCCGGGCACCCTCCGGTCGCTGGGGCGGTGCTGGGAGCTGGGTAGAGCCGGTGCCCCCCGTTCCAGCCGGGAGCGCGCCCCGAGGCCCCCAGGAACGAGGCTGTGCCAACCTTCAAGTCTCCCTCAGCGGCCTCCTGGCCCTGTCCCCTGTCCCCTGTCCCTGTCCCTGTCCCCTGTCCCTGTCCTTTGTCCCTGTCCCCTGTCCATATCCCTGCCCCCTGTCCCTGTACTTGTCCCTTGTCCCTGTCCCTTGTCCCTGTCCCTTGTCCCTGTCCCTGTCCCCTGTCCCCTGTCCCCTGTCCCTGTCCCTTGTCCCTGTCCCTGTCCCTGTCCCCTGTCCCCTGTCCCTGTCCCCTTGTCCCTTGTCCCTGTCCCTGTACTTGTCCCTTGTCCCTGTCCCTGTCCCTGTCCCTGTCCCCTCTCCCTGTCCCTGTCCCCTGTCCCCTGTCCCTGTCCCCTTGTCCCTTGTCCCTGTCCCTGTCCCTGTCCCTTGTCCCCTGTCCCCTGTCCCCTATCCCTGTCCCTGTCCCCTGTCCCTGTCCCTTGTCCCCTCTCCCCTGTCCCTGTCGCCGAGCCCAGGCCGGCTCCGCGAAGTTCCCGGGGCGCTGCAGCGAGCCGGGATCGCATCCCAGGGAGCCGCGGGAGCCGGGAACGGCCCCGGGAGTGGGGAACGGATCCGGGAGTGGGGAACGGCCCCGGGAGTGGGGAACGGATCCGGGAG